TTTCTAGATCTTAGGTGAAGGGTGATGATGTGCCAGCCAGAAGCCGGTATGGTCAAAGGCTAAACCCCTGGGAGGGCATGTGGTTGGGTAGTCATGTCAGGAAGGTACCAGAAACGCAGAATTGGGCTTTTGATGCCATTCCTCTGTTAAGAGGTTTTTTTTTAGTGCAGGCTGGGTTGGGGGAAGTAGGGCAGATGGGGTTTTCCAGCTTGGGCAGGGGTCAGCTGGAAGCTCCAACCGAACAGTCTTCACACTTTGGTCTGTCATTGGTTCCCTATCTGGGGTGAACAGACGTGTGTGTTGCATCTCCCCAGAGAAAGTTTGTTACATAACAACCACCTTTCCTTTTTCACAGAAACTCTTCCTTTTAGGTGCAGTCCCTCATCTATTCCATGGGATGAGAATGAACCTGCCCTAAACGGGACAGGGACTTAAGGGGCGGCCCAGCACTTAACGCTTGCTACTCTTACTGAGGACCCAAGTCTGGTTCCCAGCACTCATGTCCAGCAGCTCACAACTGCCTTGGATCTTCAGCTCCAGGGGTTCTGATGCCCTCTTTTGGCCTCTGCAAATACTTGCATGCACGCACACACAGAAGGGGAGAAGAGGAGGTAAAGAAGAGAGTATGAATATATTAAAATAAGTCTTTAAACACACACACAGAGAGACTGTTGCGGAACATTAATTTAAGATGTGTTACATTTGTTTATGCTGTGAAATATTTAATGATACAACAATGTGTTACATTTGTTTGATTAAATAAAATTAACTTGCAATCAAGTTAAATAAAATTAACTAGCTGACAGGAAGTGGTAGGGAGGAACCATGTATAGTTGGGGTTCTTAAGTGGGGGTGAAGCATTGGGAGACTCCAAGCTAGGAAAGGAGGTTAATTAGCTATGTGCTATTCAGCCTCACTGAGAGAGGAGAATTTCACTTAACCCCTGATAGAGCCAATACCTAAGGGAACAAAATTCCTGTCTGGCTATGGCCACTGCAGCCAAACAGCTACTGGTAGCTGCAGAGTTGCAACTGCCTATTAGGACAGCAGTTGCTTAAGGGGCAGCTACTGAATTTAATGAAAAGCAAAGAGACACTGAGACAGAGGAGATAGTGACCCAAGGTGGCCATGCCAACTGTTCAGTTCGCAAACGTAACCTAAAAGTCCTTTCTGGGAGCCTTTCTTCTAATGCTGCTGAAAAGAATGTTCTCTCTCTCCAGGAGTTTTGGGATGCCATAGACTATTATACTGTCATGGAGAGAGGGCTTATCAATAGACATAGAGTGAAAAAAAGAAAAACATTATTTGAGCCATAGAATCCACCCATGCCCCTACTGATGAACTGTTGATGGTGGTCTTTGTTCAGACAGGGTCTTAATACATAGGCTAAGAACTCCAACTTGCCATCCTCCTGTTATAGCCTCCTCCTGAATGTTAGGGTTGTAGGCATGTGCCACCACACTTGGTTTATGTAGTGCTAGGGATTGAACCTAGAACCTGGGAGGGCACGCAGGCATTCAGGATTATAGGCATGTGCCACCACACTTGGTTTCTGTGGTGCTAGGGACTGAACCTAGAACCTGGGAGTGCACAGAGACATTCATGCACACACACTGAATAAATGTAATTTTGAAAAGTTCTTGAGACTGATCTAGGGAAAATGTGAGATGACAGAAGGAAGATTAAATTATAATTAAAAATTAAAAATATTAATAGAGGGCTGGAGACATGGCTCAGTGCTTAAAATCATTGGGTACTCTTACAGAGGACCCAGGTTTGATTCTCAATAACCACCTGTCTGTCTACAACCATCGGTAACTCCAGTTCTAGTGGATCCAACACTTCTGGCCTCTACCAGCACCAGACACGAGAGTGGTACACAGACATACATGCAGGCAGAACACCCCCACACACCTAAGTTTTAAAACTAACAATGACAAAATCACTAATGGAAAGTAACAACTTGATGCCTTTACCTGTAGGAGGTGAATGGTGAGTCAAGAAAGTATACAAGTGTAGGGTTGTAAGAGAATATAAAATCTTTAAATATTTCATTTATTTACTTACTATGTATGTATATTGGTGAATACATATAAGTGAATGTGAAAGAAATGGTGCAAGTCTCTGGAGAGAATATAAGCTATTTAAAAACTTGATAATTTGACATGATTTGTTTGGTTATTAATATAGTCAGAATGTGTTAAAATATGTAATGGTTACTTCTTGGGTCTTTAAGTTTAATTTACAAATATTATATTTTTTAAATTTCATAATCATAAAATATGGACACTTCTACTTTGTTATGGTCTAATTCACAAGCTTAATTAAATATTTCTCATTTAATATTATATATATTCAACTAGTTATGTTTTCTTAAGACATTTAAAACTATGATCACAAATGTTTTACAAATGTAATAATATCTTTCTGAGCATTTAGATAACTTTTGCAAATCTAGTACCATTAAACCAATCTTGTGCATGTGGTCACTAAACAAATGGCCTTCACTTACCAAGCTTCATGGATGTCAAAAGCTGAGAAAGCATAAATCACTAGTGATAATAATTACAGAAATAATGAAACTATATTATCATTGTTAAATGTTACAGATTCTGAAGCTGGGCAGTGGTGGCGCAGGCCTTTAATCTCAGCATTCGGGAGGCAGAGGCAGGTGGATCTCTGTGAGTTCAAAGCCAGCCTGGTCTACAAAGCAAGTTCCAGGATAGCCAGGCTGTTACACAGAGAAACCCTGTCTTGAAAACAAAAGCAAATGCTATATAGTTTGACAAAGATGGAGGTGCATCACATCAGTCTTCCTTCAAAAAAGGACAAGTTTCCTTGTTTGGGAAAGACGGTCTCTAGCTGTCAATTCTTTCAGGATGTGTCTGGGCAGCAGTCATGCCATATCAGGGCATCTACTAGCTGAGAGAGACAGGTGCAACACACAGTCCAAAGTGGACACTGACCCGCAATACTGGATTCAGAGCTTCTTGGCTCACCCTCTCTTCTGGAGAACTGGACTGCAGTGCAATCCAGGCACAGAGCCGCCACCTCACACCCCCTAGGCACTGCAGTGCGATCCAGCCACAGAGCCGCCACCTCACACCCCCCAGGCACTGAGCTTTTGTCACTCTTCCAGTGATGATCTTACTTGAGCCCCGGGTTACAGAGGGTTTTTGTTTGGTGTGTGTGTGTGTGTGTGTGTGTGTGTGTGTGTGTGTGTACCTGTGAGAGATTAAACTCAGGAATTGTTCTTCAGAAGCCATCTTGTTTCTCTTCAGGAGTTTTGATGTGCTGTTTGTTTTCTAAAAGCTTTATTTTGCTGTATGTGTACGAACACCTTGCCTGCATGTGTGTATGTGCACCACACGTGTGTCTGTTGGATTCCCTGGAGCTGAGCCACCAGACGGATGTTGCAATCAATCCCAGGCCCCTGCAGGAGCAACAAGTGCTCTTAACCTCTGAGCCATCTCTCCAGCCCTCCTGTCTCGTTTCTTAAGACACTGGGATCCTGAGTTTGATCATCAGGTTAGGCTGCCAGGTTAGAAAACCTCAGGAATCTGCTGCCTTCCCCAACTCTGAGATTACAAACGTGTCACTGTGCCTAGCTTCTTACATTGGTGCCGGGAACTGAACTCAGGTCTTCATGCTAGGCCTTTCCTGCAAGCCCTCCACTGAGTTATCTCCCTATCCCTCCCTCCTCATTTTGGAGACAAAGTCTTGCTTTGTAGCCCAGGCTGGTCTGACCCTTTCCAGTCTAGGTGGGAATCTCCTTTCCTCAGCCTTCTCAGCGCTGGGATTTCGATACATGCCAGCACATCCAGATTTCAGTTCCCTTTTAAAAGTGAGGCTCCACCTTCCTACTTGATATACTACTGAAACCTTACACATCTTCTAATATAAATTAACTTTGCATGGATGCACACATACCCATAGGCAAACTCACAATTTGTGGTTCCCACAACTAGAACTGAACCTAACACTGACTACCACTTGGACAAATTTGCAAAATTTACTTCTCTGTGCTCAGTGTTCTTACCTGTAAATAAGATCTGATTTTAAGATTGTCGAAGAGAAAGCTGGGCGGTGTTAGCGCACGCCTTTAATCCCAGCACTTGGGAGGCAGAAATAGGTGGATCTTTGTGAGTTCAAGGCAAGCCTGATTTACAAGAGCTAGTTCCAGGTCAGGCTCCAAAGCTATAGAGAAACCCTGTCTCGAAAAACCAAAAAGAAAAAGAAAAAAGACTGTTGAAGAGAAAAATGAGTTAATACATTTAAAAGTGCATACAGCCCCTGGCTCCTACAGCATATTCAATAAATACTAGTTATTATCATTATTGGCCGAGTCCTCCATTGCTTGTATTGATCTCATATTCAATGTTTTCGAATAATTTGGCAAAGCAATTACAGAAAACCATCTGTATGTTTTAAGAACATTGTAGAATCTTCAGTCTATTAATATGTTTAACTAATTAAATATTCTTTCCATTGTTTTATTTTTGAGTTTTTTTTCAGTTTCCAAAGATACAAACCAGATATGTGAAGTTTAGATTTATGTAAATATAAAATAAATGTATGAAATATTCCAAAATTATTCTAAACCTAGACAACTTCATTCGGCCCTGAAAACTATTATTAGGCGTTAGGTTTCTTTTACCATATAAAGATGACTGATCACAAGCTGAAGAAGCATGTTTAAGAAAAACAGAAGCTCTCCTTGGTGTTAATACCAAATGGAGAATTTTCTGTCGTTGGTTGCAGGGTCTGAAATAAACGATCCAACCTTCAGCTATTTCTGTGAAGTCTCAAAAGGCCAAAATTTTGAAATAATGAGACCTACTGTCTAATACGACCTGTACGTTCACACATACTACATCTATTTCAAGGTGCCAATCTGGGGAAAGCCTTCGGATCTACAGGGACGCCACACAATAGCAAAAGGAAGAGCGCACACGGCCTCAATCCTAACCTCGCCCTTTTGGGAAAAAGAGGGGACGAAGATGTATGACTTAATGCAAATGCAGCAGCCCACCGACGGAGGGATAAGTCGGTAACTGAGAGGCACCTCAGAAAGAGGAAAAGAGATCTAAGGACTTTCCCTTTCGTCTCTCTCACCCCTGGGCCACCTGGGAGACCTGACTACAGGAGACTTGACCTCGGCAGGCCTGACTGCCACGGCCAAGGATGATGCAGAGTGGAGAAAGTGAGTTTTCCCGTTTCCCGGTGTTGAGCGTGCAGGTCATGGGGTGGGGTTGAGACTCAGCAGCCCCGGCGGGCGAGCTTCCGATCCACACCTGTCAGCGCCGCCCGCGCAGGACACCTGAGCAGAGGGAAAAGCCGGCCTGGGCTCCGCCTAGCTGACAGCATCACCCAGGTGGAACTGCGAAGCCCGGCAATCCGCTCCTGACCCAGCGCTGAGGCCCACGGCACACCGGGAGCTCAGAGAAGGACCGTCCGGCTCGCGGCAGAAGGCTCAGCCGCCCGGAGCCTCTACCAAGCCTGGGCCCTTAGTCCCGCCTTACTGCTCAGCGAGGATTGGTGACGAAGGATAAACTCTGGCGCTGATTGGACGGCGGCGAAGTCGTTCAGATCGTAGTGTCTGGCCTCCGCGGAGCACTAAATGGATTTTCAGTCCCAGGATCGCCAAGTCTTAGAGGCGTCGTAGGGTATCCCCGAGCTGACAGCATTATCCCGCCCCGCATCCTCCTCCCCCGGCTTTGTTTTTCACCCCTCCCTCCTCCCTCCAGTCCGCGACGACTGGCTCTAGACCTGGTTCAGGCCTCGCTGAAGGTGAGGGCAGAGGTGCCCGCGAGGGGCGGCTCTGAAATGGCCGCTGGCTGGAGCTGTCTAAGATGGCGGTCTCGTGCTCGGCTGGGGACTGGGCGCTCGCTGCGCTGCAGCTGTAAGCTGATGGGATGGAAAGGTGTTGGCACGACTTCGTGTCGACAGCACAGGTGACATCCCGGGGCGAGAGGAATCCGGAGGCCAGGGTGGGCTACGGCGTGAAGCGAGCCTCCGGGGGCGTGGCGGTCCGCGGGCAGCGCACACCGGTGACACTCCGCCCCTCCCCGAGTCACGGAGGGATGGCTGTTCCTGGCCGCGGGGTGACCGCGGCGGAAAGAAGCCTGGTCCCTCCTGCTTCCTAGCCTTTGTGATTGGCCTGCGCTCCTGCCCCTTCAGCAGGCCGACAGCGAAGGCAAAGGTGGAAGGACTGCTTGCCTCTTTCAGTTCAGTCCAAAGGGGAGACCCAAGTGTTCCCGTTTCAGGGGGTGAACTGAAAACTTAGGAGCACAGGTTATTTGTCCTGAAGAGCTGGCAGAAATTACCTCTGAAGAGAAAGGCATGAGGCGCTGTTTTAAGAAAATGAAGCTGCTTGTTCTCTGTTCACTTGACAAGGGGAGGGGATCCTAATTTTATGGGGAATCACTGGTTCCATGAAATGGTTTCTGTTTTGTTTTTGCCAAATTCAAATCAAGACGGGAATAGGTTTTGTAACTGCTGCCACTTTAAGATTGCTGCCCGTCGCAGTTGCAACACACTGGGAACCTGTTTCTGCACACATACCCACTCTTAGTACCAGGTGGCTGTAGCGCTTGATGAAACAGAAAACTCACAAGTAATGGAGAAGCGCGTGGGATGTACAGTCAAGCTTTTGGGGCTCTGTTCTTGATTCTTCACTAACAAAATGTGTTAACCTAGCAGGTAACAACTTCTCCATGTCTTTTTCTAAAGTGCAGTCATTAACATTCCCAGGTTCTCGACAGTTGGATGAGTTAACCCATGTGTGGAACTACGCACAGATACTAAGAAACAGTTACTCAGTAAGCATTAGTTGTCAGATTGGGGACACAATTTGGTTATCATAACGGCATCTGTCATGTAACACTTGAATGTATGATTTCATTTTAGCTCCAATGCTTAGTTTTAGAGATATTGAGATGAGACTGTCTTTTTAAAAAATAGGCTTTGTCTTGTTTTTCCCAAAAAATTTCCTGTGTTGTCAGTGGGTAAGGAAACATTTCATATCAGGGAAATTGCCTGGATAGTAAGGAGGATGAAAATATTAGCATGTTTACTACATGATGGGCACTTTCTGTTTACATCTAAGAGCTGCATTGCGTGGAGAATCATTTGTATTGACTACTTACAGTATGATAGATGTTCGTAGTGGAAGATTGTGCTTCTGATTGGTGCAATGTCTAATTTTAACTTTCCTTATTCTAGCCCTGTCCCTTAATCTTATTCTTTTGAAGAATCTGCATTTCAAGCTATCAAGTTGGAGAGAGTGATTGCAGAAAGAAGGGTTGGTTGTTTCAGGTATCTTACCTACTGACTGTTGACAGGAAAACCATTTGATTGAGGATCTGAAAGGAAAAGACAGCTTAATTTGTAACCTCATGAAGTTTAAAATCAACAGGATCAGTCTGTATAGCTTACAAATTTAATTTAAAACTTAAAAAACAATATTCATTAGATAGTCTTAAGTTTGCATTACTCTTGTATTTCTTTTGTTACATAAGAGAAAAACCTATTAAAGTGAGTTTATGTTTTTTGTTTGCTTGCTTGCTTGTTTGTTTCATGAGACAGGGTTTTTCTGTGTAGCTTTGGAGCTTGTCCTGAAACTCTGTAGACCAGGATGGCCTTGAACTCACAGAGATCTGCCTGCCTCTCCCTCCAGAATGCTGGGATTAATGGTGTGCACCACCACCATCTGGTGAGTTTATACTTTTTGTTTTGTTTTGTTTCTTTGTTGGGAGCCACCTGGAGGCACAGGTGGTCCTGCAGTTTGGAGGTAGCCACGTGGGGCTGAGCAACCCTGCCTGCACCCTTGCCTGCACATGCTCAGACCAGCAGAATGGCATTAACCAATCAGGACAGCGTTCAAGCCGCTCCACCGTTTAAAAGCAGATGCCTCGGGACCCTACTTCCTCTCTCTAAGCTTTCTCTCGTCCCTGCTCTATCGTCCCTTCCCCCAATTTTCCTCAAGGGAATGCTCCAAATAAAGATGTGACCAGAGAAGGAATTCTCGTTTTTGGTGGGGTTCATTCCTGCTGGACAGGATGGCGCCCCGCATTTCTTTTTTGTTGTATTGTTTTGTTTTGTTTTTCAAAACAGGGTTTCTCTGTAGCTTTGGAACCTGTCCTGGAGCTAGCTCTTGTAGACCAGGCTGGCCTCAAACTCACAGAGATTTGCCGGCCTCTGCCTCCTGAGTACTGGGACTAAATGCATGCACCACCACCGCCTGGCGATTTTATATTTTCCTAAGATTCTGACTATTACTTCTAGCACAACAGTAGTCAGAGTAATTAGTAACATTGTGCACTACTTTTAGAAAGTCTTAATTAAGATAATGTAAATATTATATACTTTTAAGTCCAGAGAAGAAGTATGTACTTTTTGGTCTGTAGTTTATTCCTTACTGTTAACACATAATGCTTAGGATACACTAGAATTCTCTGTCCCAGAAAACAGTGTTTTCAATATAGCTTATTAGATTTGTTGCAGCCCTGAAGAGAGATTTCTGATATACAATACTATCAACATTTAATACATCTAATGAGAGCAGTTATCAGAAAGATAAAAGAAATTCTAAGGTACTATCTACTATGAGATAAGGTTGGTAAATTATGGGCCACACAGTCTGTTTTGGTGCATAAAGTTTTATTGGGACACCTACACGTTCTTCCATCTGCTGCTGTGCTATGCCTACAGAGCTGAGCAGTTACAACAGAGCCTATGACCCACAAAGCAAGCTTTTTTACTGTGTGGTCTTAAGTGTTTACCAGCCCTTGCCATGGAAGGATTCCTAAAAATGTTTCTAAAGAGCTCTTCCTTGAAATGTACAAATGAAATCATTATTATTTCCTAGCCAAATAGTTCCCAGATAGTTTTTTAGAATGTTTAATATTCTATGAGTGTTATGAGAAAAAAATACTATATTAGCAATAATTCTCTTTGTAGTTTTACTATAAGTTGATTTGAATGTAAGTTTGACTACTAAACTTGTTTCTGTAGTTTTTATTTTTATGTGATAATCTGCCTTTAAGAAAGGTGTGCCGTACCAGAGAGCACAAGGAAGTCGCATGAGATCACCTGATAAAAGAACAAGTGATGTTCCAAAATGATGCCTAGGCAGCATTTACGAATTAACCGGTGTATGGCTCTGTATCTTCTCTCTTCTTTGTTTCTTGTCTTATCATTTCAAAGCATTTGTGATACTCGGTGTTAAATCCAAATTAACCATGTTTTGCACCACAAACTCATTACCCCTGAATCTTTTGCTGAAACAAGGAAATATTAAACAAAGAGCAGAATCATTTTGTTCCCAAATTGTATCTGAACCAGACAGTCAGAAGGCTGGAATATTACAAAGTGAAGATGAACCATTGAAGTCTTCAGTTTCTATAAAAACCAGAAGGTGAGCTTTCCAGGGTCGAATTTATGTCCAATTCCAATAAAATAACAACATTTAGTAAGAAAATAGAAAGGAGAAAATATGATGAAAGTTTTTGTCCTTTGGATTTACTTACTTTGGCAATCGAGATACACCCCATGCTCAGTGTGTATTATGTAAGAAGAGTTTATCCAGTAGCTCTTTAGCCCCAGTAAGCTCCGAAGACATTTAGAAACTAAACATGCTGCATATAAAGATAAAGACATCAGCTTTTTCAAGCAGCATCTTGATTCACCTAAAAACAATAAACCTCCAGCCCCTAATCTCTCAATACAGATAATGAAGTGTTACAGAAGCATCATATACGATGATGTAAGTTACTACATAACCCTGAGTGGAGAGGCTCATACTATTGGAAAATTGCTTATCAAACCTTGTGCAAAAGACATAGTGATGTGGGTGTTTGATGAACAGTATACTGAAAATATTTGATGGGTTTTCACGACAGCTAGATGAATCAGCTGATGTTTGAGGACTGGCTACGATGCTTGTGTTTATTCATTATAGGTTTAGTAAACCTTTTGAAGAGGACCCGCTCATATGTGAGTAATGCAATTGGTAAAGAAATATTCAGCTACATCAATAGTTTTATGCAGAAACATGAATTGTTTGTAGTGATGCTTCTAGGGCAGTGAAAAGGAAAGTTGCTGAGGCTGTCACCTTGATAAAATATGTAGCTCCAGAGGTACCAGTCGTCACTGCCTGTTATATCGACATTAGCAGTTAAAATAATACCTACATCTCTAAAAAAAAAAAATGTGCTAGATCAAGCAACACACATTATCAATTACATCAAAACTCCTCGACCACATCAATCCTGGTTACTAAAAGCTTTATGTGAAGAAATGGGTGCTCAGCACACAGCACTTCTTCTGAATACAGAAGGAAGATGGCTTCCGGAGCTAAAGTTCTTGTAAGACTTTTTGAGCTTCAGTACAAACTATTGGATTTCATGGATTCTGCTTTTCGAATCTGGTTGCTTAACAAATTCATCTTGACTGCATATCTTGCTGACATTTTTACTAAATTAAATGAGGTTAATCTGTCAATGCAAGGAAGAATGTAAACACTGTTTACAGTGTTTGATAAAATGTCAGCATTGTTAAGAAAATTGGAGTTTGGGACCTCATTGTAGAAGGAAACTTTGTTTTCCTACTACACTGAGTGACTTTTTGACTGAAATTAATTCTACAGTTGATACAGATATTTATGGTGCTATTGCGCAGCATCTGAGGGGTTTGCACTCTACTCTTTTGAAATATTTTCCTGTAACAAGTGATAATAATGCTTGGGTTAGAAATCCATTTACAGTAACTGTTAAACCAACTTCATTAGTCGCACAAGACTATGGGAGTCTGACTGACTTAACAACTGATTCCCAAGGGAAACAAAGTTTCAATGAACTGTCACTAAGTGATTTTTGGAATAGCCTAATTCATGAGTACCCAAACATTGCTAGACATGCTGTTCATGTACTTCTTCCTTTGCAACACTGTCCCTGTGTGAAATAGGCTTTTCATATTATGCTGCAGCACAAACAAAATATAGGAGAAGCCTTGATGCTGCACCTCATGCAGATCCGACTTAGCAATATTA